CCGTTGCGGGATAGCGGAAGAAGCAGCCGAATATGGCGTTAGCTTCCGGGCAATGGTGGGATATGACCAATGCGGGGCGGGTTTGGGATTCAGGCTCCGGAGCATACTGTCGACATCAAACCAGATCCCCGATCGCACTTGCTGCAGGTACAGCGAGCCATTGAGCGCCGCTTGCCTGGCTAAAGTGTGTGTACCAGATGCCGGCTTAGCGCAAGGTTGGGTTGGATGTAAGCTTTAGGGGTCTCCAGGGCCTAGAGGGCTTGAGAGGTTTTAGGAGGACCCTGGACCTCAGAGGCCTCAAGCTCCTACCAAGCTCTAAGTCCCCAACTGGTTCACTGATTCGAGGTCGTCCCGTGCGCCTTCGTCTAAGAAAGTGGAGAAACCCCAAACCCTCAAAACCTAGCTGAAGGAGAGGTGCAGGCTCCTACCGTACTGGCATGTCGGACCTCACACCTCAACTTTTGCATCCTCAGCCCCCTAGATTCTTACGTTTTGGGGGTTAGGGTGACTCCGTCCAGAAAGAGAAGAAAGCATCGCAGATTTCGGGCTAAGGGCTGCAGAGGGCTGCAGAGGGCTCAGAGGGATATTTTGATACTGGTGGTATAGGGCTTACAGATGCTTACAGAGCTTATGGAGCTTGGCCGGCGTGTTAGGGATGAGGACTGGGGCTAAGCGGCTAAACTCCATAGGCCCTAAGCCAGAAACCTAATCTGCTGACTGGAGGTCTACAAGTGCCTGCAGGAGGACATCTGAATCCCAACATGTCCATCTGTGTATGCTTCAGTTAGGTGCCTGTATAGGGGTTCAGTTGAGGTTTAGGCGGTTCAGGGGTTTAATGAGTTCTATAAACCCTGGTTACACCGCTCACCTCTTCCAGAAGGCCCGAAACTTTAGGGTTCCGGGTTTACTGCATGTGCGAACAGTTCTTGCAACCACTTGAGAGAGCCCTGGCACTTTTAAAGGGCTAGGGACGAGCCGAAGAGCAGTTTAGGCTAGGGGTTGAGGCTTGGCGTTGACGCCGATCTGCTTTCAGGCACAGCCTTTGCAAAGTGAGATGTGATGTGTATAGGGGTTACAAAGTGATTCTGAGCATATCCACTGCAGTTTCTACTGGGTGCAAGAGATTATGTCTTTTGCTGGCTTCTGCTAGCGAAGTGCTGGCGCGACGCCATTTGGAGGCACTTGAGAGCAGCCTCGTTGACAAAGGGCAAAGCTTCCCACCCGAAGATAAAATGCCTAAACCTGCAAGCGCTAAGCCCGAAACTGCCCTGCTTCCCTCAAGGAAACAGCCCCGAACATCAGGCCTGTGCTTGTTCCCTGGCCCGAAACGCATCTGAAGCTTACAGCAGTCCCTAAACTTTAAGTTACATGCTAAAGCGCTTCAATAGAACGGCCCAACTGGGAGGAGATCTGCGTTGGGGGAGACCCCGAAAGTTGCCTGGGAGGCATGGGATTTGGTTCTGAGTTTCTGCTCTTACATGCCGGCTTGGGCTCTTTCTTCATGCAGTTGAGGGTTGTGATGTTCACGACGTACAGATTCATAGCGGGAGTGATCTGGAGGTAAGCACAGAAGACTGTAGCACGGTTGAACAGATCTGATTGCAGCACTTGCGATCTCTCGCCTTCATGCAACCTGAAAACCACGCTCCAAGTTGCTGGAGCTGTGCTCGGAATATACCAAGATTCGGCTTGTTTCCTTATGCGAATAGTTGGTATTGCGTCACCGGCCGACAAACAAAGCCTCGTTGTTGAGTCAAGTTTGAGTGGATAAGGGGAGCAGATTTTCAAAGCAGATGAGCATCCGAGATACAGCAAGAAGAGAATCTCCGTGTGGCCGTTGCCTTCCGCGTAAAACTGCTCCCACATTCGCACCGGTATTCGTACGCACGTCACTAACTCTATAAAGCTAGAAGGTTGCTCAAATCTTTTTTCGAATGAGAGCAATCCGGGCCCACACCTGAACGGCAATGCTGCAAAGTGCTCTCCTGCCGATGTTGTTGTAAGCAGGTTGTAGGTGTTGGCGGGGGCGGCCCAGTTTCTGGGCAGCGCCAGGCTGCTTGTATGACGTTTGGGTTTAGGGAGATAAGGTGCCGATGGTGCCGTTTAAGGCACGAGGGGGAACTGGGAGACTGTAGTTAGCCAGCTTGTGCGTGCATCTGCCTGAGACCTGGCAAGCTCAACGCCCCGAGCTAGCCACACCCTTTCAGAACACCTGCAAGTAAAGGCCCTCACATGCTGAAGCATGCATGGCATAGCTAATAGTAGCCGTAAGCCCGCAACGGGAAGAGTGCAGCCCCCCAAAGCTTTTACAAGAACTGCACTAGCTTGGGCCAGAAGAAGGAAGGCTTGAGAATGTTTATTTAACGCCTTAGGGCCTTGAGGCAAGTCGCATTCTTAACCGTGGGTCGAGGGAAACCCGGCGCAAGGTCATATTCTCCTACGTTGTTCGGCAAACTCGAATGGGTCCGCTGTGACAAGAAGAAATGGGTGACCATTGACCATGAAATAATCGCCGGGCAGGGTGTCAAATTCTTGTCTGCACGCAGCATTCTCGAACCTCGCCGCGTAGCTGAGTAGCTCCAGAGTCTCGGTCTCTTCTCCCTCCGAGGCTTCCACTCGCGAAGGCTAGCCCAAGCCGGCTCCGAAAGATAGAAAATGTGTGGGGGGGGTCTGCGGGGGGGGTCTGGGGTCTGGGGGGGGGGGGGGAGGTGACCAATGCCACCAAAGCATCACATCAGTTTGAACTTGTAATGGTTTAAGGTTGAGCTCCCGTATCTGTAAAGCTTGAGAAACCCGTACGGTTGCATGTTCAGGTCTGGTCGACCTCGTGTGCGCGCGCTGCCCTGCTGGCCAAGAGTGGGGGGCACCGTGGCAGCAAGTGAAGCCCAAGGGGTCTGGCGAGCTTGGGGTGAGTGATACTCGTCCTGTTGCCTAGTGCGAGGCCAGTTGAGTATTAGACGCGTTTATCCTCGTGGCTCCTTTATGTTTAAGGTACAGGGCTTCGAGCCTAGGGTTGGTTCGAACGTGTCAGACTTGGAGGTTGCGGCGTTCACTCAGAAATGCAGCGACTCTCTTTTGTTGTTTGGAAAGGCACTTCTTTGGTGGCTTGGGCACCAATGGGAATCTGCCCTGCCAGATACGCGTCAAGAGCCCTTATAACTTACAACCCTAAACCCTGCGCGTGTTGTTGGGTTGAGGAGGGTTGATTGAGCGGGTGGCATAGGGCTGGGCACTTGAGGTTGGAAGGGCCACACCAGCGCTTGTAGTAGTTCGCTTGGGTGATTGCCTGACGAAACCTTTGGCCTCTGTCAGGCCGGCGAGTGTGGCGCTTGCTCAGGCTGGGTTGAGGGCCATCCAGAAACAGCCCCCCCACCCCCCCCTCCTGCGGTTGTTCAAGAGGTTTGCTGTTCATCTGGGTCCGGGCAGTGAATCAAAAATGCTCTCCCAGAGGGTGGCACAGGCCGCTGTGATTTTTTCGTCGGCCCAAATGAAGTTTGAACGTTTTAAATGAGTTTACATGTCTATTTACATTTTAAGTGTTTTAAGTCTGTAGATATTAATGTCGGCCCTGAATTTAGTGAATGAACTGAAGATCAACATATCATTGTTGCCATCTTGTGTCATTTCCTGACTTATTTCCCGAAATGGCTGGACATTTATTGCACTCAAAAAGTTCAATTCGGGATCCTGTCGTTTCTCAAACAATGAGGGGGTGGGGCTTCATGAAAAAGAGGGGGGTTCTCCCGACCCATGGAACGGCAGGAGTCTCACCAACAAGAACAGAAACCCTCAAATGGCTCTGACGTAGTCAGAAAACGAGTGACACTTTCGCTTCCTGTGAGTGACCCCTTTCCTCAGAAGAGATCAGAGCGCGGTCTTTCTTCGGAACTGCAGTTGTGGGTGGAGGGTTGTCATTCCTCCTCAAGATGAGGACGAGTTCTGTTCTTCTTGCAACTTCGAAGGTTCTTCTGACAGAAGCGCTCGCTCCTTTGCAATATTTTTACGAAAGAAGAAATTTGTTCAAACACATTGAGGGCTAGGCTCTCATGTCTTGAGTCGAAGGAGTCTGAAGAAGGACTCGCTTTCTTTTGTCATACACGGGGCATCACGGGGCGATAAGCCGAGGGCACACGTTTGGGTTCTCAATTCCCTCGTTTGGATGGAAAACCTTGAGAGTTCATCCTCTTTGATAGTGAGGAATGAATACGACTTGCTTCCCAAAACAAGACAGAACATACAGAACCCTCTCTAGTTTCGAAGTAGATCAAGACAGTCCATCCAGAAAAGGAGTTCAGGCGCAACAGCACCTGCGCAATGCTGCTGCAGGTGAAAGGTGTAAGTAATGTTACAGCGGGCTATGAAATCTTGGGGTATGCTACTCTTCAGTACTGCTGCGTGTTTCCATCGCGCGTTGTATTTTGACCGGACTGGTTCTCGCGCCGACCTTTGAATAGGGTGGGCTCACATGGTCTCCCACTGTTTGGGATCTACGCTGGCATAGTGGAGTTAAGATACAGATCCGCTTCATCTCTTTAATTCTCGATTCGATGTTGTAGGTTGTGGATAGGGCTTGCCAGGCATATCTCCCAAAATGGTACCGGCGGGGTGGGGGGGGGGGGGGGGGGGCCCGCCATCCTACTATTGGGGAGTCTATTTTAGGAGCCTCTTGTTTTCGTAAACCGACATACTTAATCCAAAAACTGCATTTCCTCGGCTGGAAAACCTGTCTTTTCTTTGGATTGCACGTCAGCAAGAAAAGCTCTCTTGCTTTAGTTTGTTGAAAGGAACACCCTCTATGTCATCCAAAAACACTGGTGTTTAAATTTGGGCCAGGGGTGACACCCCTGGCCCAAATTTAAACACCAGTGATTGTATAACGAAACTGCAGCACTGCAGGTGTTTGTATAAGCGCAACAAGGTTAATTGGTCAATGAGTTGCGAAACATGCTGAAACCACAATGATGAGACGGTTTATGGGTCAACCCACTGCTGGGGCCAAAATGGCTAATGGTTAATGGGTTCAGGTTTCATGGACCCATCAGCGGATTTCACCCTAACGCAGGGGGAAATACCAAGCCCCAGACCAAAGCCCTCACATCCGAACCCCCGAACCCCAAAACCCCAAAGCAAAAACAAACCCCAAACCGCCCACACCCAAACCCCAACGCCCCGAACCTCGAACATGGAGCCAGCCTCAGCCCCATCGAGGAGGATCCGGCACTGAGTTCATGCTCTTCGGCTTCGCCTTCGCAGGCGCCCTGGGGTTAGGCGGCCAGGGTACGGTTCTTCGGGTTTTGGGCGGGCTTGGGCGGAACTGGAGATGTCTGGAGGCAGACTGGAGGTGTTCTGAGAGAACTCTGGGGGTCAGGTTCCGGAAGGAGCACTTTGTGTTGGAATTATGGTAAGTAAGCCGCCCTCCGGTGCAAGATGGCAGTCTGGGCCTTGCTCAACCCCTTCGTCTGCATAAAAGCTTGCACGCAGGATGCGTGGCGGTCATCGTGATGCATGCCACGGCCTCATATGAACTGGAATGCCTGTTGAAGATCGCTGAGTACTTGGGGCGGTGGAGCCCAACACCTTTTCTTCCCACCCGATACTTTTAAGCCCCAAACGATCACTATAGGAGGGAGATGGAGGCGGCCCTTCCCCAAGCTTCGCCTGAATCTGGTTCCGGAGCCTAGCCGGATGCATTTTCTAGGCTTCCAAAGGCGCATTCGGCGTCTTTGTCTAGCTTTTCTAGCTTAGAAGCTTCGCAGCAGGCTTGACCCGAACCTAGCCGAATGCACTGCCTGGGCTTCCAACAATGCAATCTTGACGTCGATTTCTTGCCTCGCTTTCTTCGAAAAGCCGGCATGGATTTTCTACCGAAAGCCTAGCCAGAAGCAGTTTCCGGGCTTCCGAAAACGCCAAACATCTCAAAGAGCATGAAGGCATTCTGCTGTTGGGAATGCTTTGTTGTGGCTTTTTGGGTGTATGTTGTGTTGTGGTGTGTTTATTGTGGCTTGAGCGTTTTCTCGGGGAGTAGGAAGGCGTGCGCAGAAGGTCAGTATTTCGTGGGCAGCCATCGGCTAGATGAGGTGGGCCAAATCGAATCCGGCACCGGCGCTGCTGGTTCCCCTGCCAGCTCGGAAGGGTGACAATTTCCAAAGCTTGCAAGGCCACAGTAGGTACGTAAGGTACGTATCTCACCGGGACCGGTGGAAACGGGGATGGCCGAGCGACACTTGCGGACCTTACGAACCCGGCACCGGAGGGCCTTGTGGACCCCATGTGGCATGCCCCGGACCTCAGCAGCATGCGTTCCCCTAAGCTTTGATGGTTGCCTGCAAGCCGGGACGAACACAACAGACCCTCGACCCAAGCACCTTGAGCCTTGAACTCTCCGGGTTGGATGCCTGTCACGACGCCAGCATGTCGTTCTTATAAGGTTAGAAGGGTTGTTTTGTTGACGAGTCCCGCTGAGGTGATGACGAACTGGCCACTTGTCAAGGGCAACCGGACGGCCGCTGCCTCGACGCACCAGGGCTCCTAGAACATCACGAGAAAATCGGGTTTTGGGGAGTATAGTACTTGCAGTAGGGTAAGGTTCAGGTGTCAGGGCCGAGCACTTTGTCGGGAGCTTAACTCACCCTGTCTCGAACAGTTGTCTGCGCTAGGTCAGCATTTTCGTAGTTTCGGGGTGAGGTGATCTTGTCGTGTGCGGAGTAGGGACCATGGACGCTGTAGAGCTTGCAGTGACAAACTGTTCCGAAGCTTTTCGCAGATGTAGCGCTTGGTGCGGATGGCCGGTGGCATTTGTTGTTTGCGTGTCACGAGCACTTTATTCATCCCACACCAACAGTGAAAGCAGGCTTAATGTGTTACAGGCACCAGAGGCTATTGGCTTCAAACTGTTGGTCGTGCTGGTATGGAGTGAGAAATGTTGGGATGCATCTCGGTGCAAAGTGACATGTAGCGAGCGAGTGCCGAGAACTGTGATCAGGAATGTACATATATATATATATATATGTATATACATATGCCCCGCAGCCGCGCGAGGCTCGGGAGCAGTACCAGAGATTTTTGCTCTCCCGCCCACACCGCCCATTGTACATTCTTTCTCCCGGCTTGGAAAGGGGTCGACGAACTGATTTCGTACAGCAGGGGTGGAGATGATGTGGCGCCGCTACCACACACCTGCTGCACGGGTTCGGTTTGGACGCCTCGACATTACCACTCAATCCGGGAGTACGAAAAGTGGCCAACGATCTATCCACTTCGTGTGTGAGTGAGTAGCATGTCGCATGTTTTGCACATGCCCCAGAACACATTCCTCCGCAAAAAGGGAGCTTACTGCCTACTGCCTACTGTTGTGATCGGACTCTGCTTGCTTCCGAAGAGTTCGAATTTCCATACAAGTGGGCAGATGGGATTCGCTTGGGCAGATCGAGTTTCAACTTGGAGGGTTACTGTACCTCCTTAAACATATCCTTTCATAGCTAGTTGTGCGCAGCAAGTGCAGCCTTTGTTGTGCGGAAGTTGTGTACCACAATGGTCACGGAGTCTGGGGAGCCTAGTCATGAACCCAGACAAGTGGACGACGGAACTGAGCATTGGACAACATGTCTTGTTTTTGCTGAACACCTGGTGTTCTTCCGCCTTCTACTTGACCTCTTTACGAGAGTACCACGAGCAGCCCACGAGCATCGTTTGCAACAAGTTTTGCAACTTTCAATTTTGGTACGGGGCAGATAGGTTTGATGCCTGCCCGGGTACGCAAGCTTACAACTCAGTATGCGCAGCCTGGAGCCTTCCTTTCTGCATCGATCAGTGGGATTTGCAAAGGTGCACGAGCAAGTTGCGTGGTATGCGTGCGCTGCGGACTTGCTGCGTTTCGGGGGCTGCTCCATATAATTATCCTTTTTCTGGGTCCTCATCACAGTAATCAGAATATACTCCTTTGAGCTAAGGTGCCCGCCAAAGAAACCATGGCAACCAGCCCCTTATATGCCTGCTGAAGGTCATGACGGCCGTCTACTTTGCTGGTATGGCGGCAACTGTTCCTCGGCGATCTGGCCTTAGAGGTGTAAGGTATGGTGTCCTAGCCCAAAACGTTTCTGAACCCTTTCCGATTTCCATGCCATGCGACCCCCAACCTTATGGGGGCTTGCAGCGCCGGGGCTGTAGTTTTGTGACCCTCCAGGGTTGATATCTGAACATCTGAAAGCTGCGAATCTTGAATGCTGGACTAGTGGAACAAACATCGGGGGGCGCTGGCTCATGAGCTCAGAAGTGTCTCAGAAGCTAAGTTTAAAGAACTGCTCCATGTAAATGTTCAGATGGCACGAACACCTTAACACGATTCCGCGGGATTCATGGCAAAGTGATCCTGCACAATAATTTCGGAGCATGTATTGCCACTAGTTTAAGAAGTTAGTTGAAGGGCTGCAGGTAGAAGACTTAGAATTTACGGGCTTGGGATGTCAACGTCCGAAACCTCGTAACCCCTGTACAGCTACTCCTGGGTGCCCAGAAAGGAGACGAACCCCAAGCTAAAAGAAGCACAGAACCTTAAAGCCTGGATGGCAAAAAAGAAGTGCCAGGTCGTCCTCACCTTCGGTGTCTACGGGACCCTGAATGCCGTGTGGGGTCCTCCGATGAGCGCCCCGGCATTGCAAGCCCAAGCCTTCCAATGACGTTTTGACTTTTGCTTGCGGGGGGGTGGGGTGCATGTTCGAGTTCTTTGAAACATCCAGCTTGTATCGTTAAAGGCCAGCTATCAGACTCCCAGGTTCTTTTTTCAAGTTCTTCTTCAACCAGCATACCGCACAAACTGTTGTTCATTGTTGTGAGAGTTCTGGTATCTTCTCGGGAAGGCTTGCAAGGACAAGGAGTGCCTCGGAAGATGTAACTCCACAACCCTGGTTTCTTTTATTTTCCTGTGCTTATGAGGTCCAATAGACCGTTCACAGCCTATGAGCCCTAAACTCGGAAATCCGAAGCTGGCCGCTGCAGTGAGAGGCAATTTCGTCCCGAGCTTCGGCATCCTTTCCTTGAACATGGACATTCTCTCCTTCTCCTGCGTGCGCCGGGGCCGAGTCAGGGGTTTAGGGTTTCAGGGTTGAATGAGTTGGGGGGAGGGGGGTTGAGAGACCAGGAGGCAAGCGGTGTTGTGTGGATGCCCTCATAGCGCTTTCACTGCGGGACCTCATCTGTCATCGGGGGATTGGGGCTTGGGGCACACCCGAAGCTTGTGCAGAGCAGTGAAGCCAGCAATGGTAAAGGGGGTGCAGTGAGCTGGGGGTTCTGCTGCTTGGGGCGCATTTAGGGCTTTAATCCGAGCATCTGTTTAATTGGGGGGGGGGGGGGGCCCCAGGGCGCCGCAATAGTAAGACCACGGCAATGTATTGATTCTCTATTTAAAGCAATAGGAATATCTACCGGCCTTGCGGCACGGGCCGGCCTGGCCGTCTGAAAACTGAAACTCGGGTTTGGGTTTAGGGGTCGGAAAAATAAGAAGAAGAGAAAGAAGAAGAAGAAGAAGAAGAAGAAGAAGAAGAAGAAAAGCAAAAAGAAAAGAAACAAGAAGAAAAGGAAGAAGAAGAAGAAGAATAAGAAGAGAAAGAAGAAGAAACAGAAGTAGAAACAGAAGTAGAAGAAAAGAAAGAATAATAAATAGAAGAAGAAAAGAAGAGAAAGAATAATAACGAGAAGAAAGGGTAAAGGAAGAAAAAGAAGACATAAAGAATAAGAAAAAGAAGGAGACGAACAGAAAAGAAATGATAATAAAAAGAAGAAAGGGTAAAGGAAGAAAAGAAGAATAAGAGAAATAATAATATGAAGAAAAGAAGAAGAATAAACATAAGAAGAATGAAAATAAAGAAGAATGAGAAGAAGAAGAAGAAGAAAACAAAGAAGAATAAGCAGAAGAAGAATAAAAGAACGAAGAATAAAAAGAAGAAGAATAAAAGAACAAAAAGAATAATAACAAGAGGAAGAAAAAGAAGAAGAATAAGAGAAAGAAGAGGAAAACAAAGAATAAAAGCAAAGAAGAAGACAAGTAAGAAGAAAACAAATGAACAGGAAGCAGAAGAGAAGAAAGAACAGGAAGCGACAGCCGAAACACTACATCTAATCCTCTGCGTGTGCGTGTGCGCGTGCGCGCGCGCGTGCGCGGGCGGGCGGGCGGGCGCACGCGCGCGCACGCGCGCGCAACAGCATTAGTGGCATCAGCGGCTTGGGGGTGCCCCCCAGCCCCCCCCCCACCCCCACCCTCCCGCACCATTGGCCCCGCCCCCACCCCCCCGCGGGGGCCCCCATCCACGCGAGCATCATGAGCATCAGCGCCTTGCATGCGAACAGGTGGCTAGACCCTTTTTTGGATGCCTTTCGCCCACCCCCACTCTTCCAGGGCTTCGGGGAGCCGTCCGTGGGCGCGGTTGGCGCTGCGTGCATACACGGCAGCCACATAACGAGGAGTTTTTGAACAGTTTTTCGCGCAGCACTCAAAACACGGTATTTACCACGTTGTCGGCCCCTCGGACCCCCCCCCCCCCCCCAAGCGAGCATCATGAGCATCAGCGAGTCAGCGAGGCTCCGGAGCCGGGACCCGAGGGCCCCGGAGAAATGAAGGGCTCATGATGCTCACGGGTGGGTGCGTATTGCGGGCGTCGGCTGACCCCCCCGAAGCCTCGGGTGTCAATGCTGCTCACCGTGGAGGCGCGGCAGTGCCCCCGAAAGGAGGTGTGTGTCGAAACACGCGAAAAACACGGTATTTACGGTGTTTTCTGGCTTTGTTGAGGCGCCCGGGCCCGCCCGTGGCCCCGGGGGCGGGTCGCTGATGCTCATGATGCTCGCCCCTGTTGGGGGGGGGTACCCCCCCAAAACTTGAGGTATAAGGTCTTTTTTCGCATGTTCGCCCAAGGTTAAAAAAATCAGGGTCGATGATGCGCGCCGGGTCACCAGGGCGTTTGGCGGCCCTCCAAAAACGCAAAAACACATGGTATTTACGATGTTTTCGGCACTTCCACGCATTGGCATGCGCGTTTGGGACCCCGCTCGGAACCGTCCCGGAGCTCCCCCCGGAGCCTCACGCAAGGAGACATGCCATTTTCAGGGCGGGTCGGCGGCCCGCATAAAGGCAAGCCTTTAGGCTAGCCGTGCTCCGCACTGGACCACGACGGCCAGGCCGGATTGAAGGGCTGCCGCCAATGCCGCCGAACCCGGGAGCGCGGCAGTGCGGTGACCCGCCGGCAGTGCTGGCCGACGTGCCGGAGGAGAAGCAGACCTCGTGGTGCGCTACCTGCTGCGGGCTGTGGGGTGGTCAAGGTAGGACATGAAGGAGGCAGGGATGGTGGTGGGCGGTGGAGCTGTTGAGAGGCGATGGGTGGGGGGGTGGTGGGGGGTGGGGGGCTGGTGGGCTGGGGGGTGGGGGGGGCGGGTGGGGGCGGTGTCTTCAACACCAGGTAGGACAGGGGGATGGGAGGGCGTCACAGCAGGAATGGAGGGCGGTGGAGTGGGGTCGGCATGGAGAACAAGAGTTTGTGGGCGGTG